TGTTGTAACCCGCTGTCGGTGAGTCTAGTCTGTTATGCCTCGTCAAGTCTGTTCATGCCTAGTCAAGTCAAGTCAAGTCAAGTCTGTGTATCTAGTCTTCGTCTGTTTGGATTATGTTTGGATGTTTGGATCACCTGTAAATAAACTGCACTTGGGTTCTCACTTACGCTCGCCTTCAGTGGATGATTCGTTACAGGCTGTTATTGTTATTATACTGAACCATCATTTTCATTGCTGAGTCGTACTGAATCAGAGCAAAGCTGCTAGAATTCAACTTGCTTGTTGTGGGGCTAAAAATAAAACCCCTCCACTTAAATAAACCAGCTTACACCATGCTATCTGCTCATTACAGCCCTGCCTATATTTCATTACATTTACCGCTGAACTTTTAAAGGAATTCAATTCAATTAGAAAGCGTTTGCGAAAGCCACTTTCACGAGACGCCTCGCCGGCTCAGCGACACGAGTAATAAGGCAGAGCCAAGAATATTGCCTCAATTAAATACCTGCGCCAGGATTGAGAGGATTCCCACCACGCCGATGAACACCGCAATCGTTTTGGGTGAGAAGTTAATGACCTGAGAGACAAAGAGAAAGAGCTGCGTCACCATCAGTCTGCACCAGCGCACCCCGAGCCAATGAACTCTGCTATATCCAGTAATGAGCCGTCACTGAACTCAACTCAACACTCAGACAGGATGCCACTAACAATCCAGCCAAACCCCGAACTTCCTGAGAAACCGACGAGTGTGTGAAATAGAGTCCAGCTATTATAAATAAGTAATTATAAAACTAAATAAATATATATTAGGGGAAAATAGGAAAAAGTAATACTTTTATTACTTCATTTATTAACTTCAAATCAGTGCTGTTCTTTTAAAGTTTCTATTCATCAAAGAATCCTGAAAAATAAAATGTATCAGTTTCCACAAAAATATTGTGCAGCACAACTGTTTTCAACATTGATAATAATCTGGCATGTTTCTTGAGCAGCAAATCAGCATATTAGAATGATTTCTGAAGATCATGTGACACTGAAGACTGGAGAAATTATGCTGAAAATTCAGCTTTGATCACAGCAATAATACAATATAAACAATATAAAAAATTTTTTTTTTAAAAAGAGTATTTACAACAATATTTACTACAGTTTTTAGTAATTATATTAATTATATTTCAGAATATTACTCTTTTTAATTTTACTGTACTTTTAATCAAATAAATGCAGCCTTGGTGAGCATGAGACTTAAAAAAAAACACTTTTATAACGATATTTAATAGAATTTACAAAAAAATAACAATTGAAAAATATTTAATACAATAAGTATTTAATACAATATTTACTACAGTTAGCACATTTTGTTGGTCATCATGCAGAAGCAGTATGAGTAGTATGGTAGTGTTTTTGTTTACTGATCCTACTTGTTTAGTTAATTAGAAGCATGCTGCAGCTAAAAACCTTCCAGTCATCAGTGCAGCATGAATCATGGGACTGTTCAACAACAGCAGACAGTGAAAAAAGGCAGCATAAATAAAGCACCCTGCAGGATAAACCGCCGATGAAAGTTTAATGGAAGCAGACAGCTGCTTTAATCAGGAACATTAAATATAGAACCTTTACATTTGTGCATTAAAAACCAAGAATAAACAGCTTACCTGACGCAGGTAGAGGAAAAAGCTGGAGTACTGACCCGCCTCGGGCAGATAGGACAGAAACACTGTGATACAGATGAGCAGAACGGTCGTGTCCTGCCCAACCTTCCGCAAAGACTGTGAAGAAACATCAATAGCATCAAAGCATCAATAAAGCGTTCAGTAGCTCATAAAACTGAAATGAAAAAGGTGTTTTGTATAGTAGTGTTTTATTTTAATCATCAGTACGAGGCAGATATTGTAAGCAGATATTATTTTTCCCATTTAAACTACTGATATATCTCATCCTGATATATTTAAATCAGGATGGAATGAGAGGTAGAGTTGAGTGTCATCAGCATAGCAGTGATATGAAAAGCCATGTTTTTGAATGACAGAACCTAGTGATGCCATGTAGACAGAGAAGAGAAGCTCGCCTTCAGTGGATGATTCGTTACAGGCTGTTATTGTTATTATACTGAACCATCATTTTCATTGCTGAGTCGTACTGAATCAGAGCAAAGCTGCTAGAATTCAACTTGCTTGTTGTGGGGCTAAAAATAAAACCCCTCCACTTAAATAAACCAGCTTACACCATGCTATCTGCTCATTACAGCCCTGCCTATATTTCATTACATTTACCGCTGAACTTTTAAAGGAATTCAATTCAATTAGAAAGCGTTTGCGAAAGCCACTTTCACGAGACGCCTCGCCGGCTCAGCGACACGAGTAATAAGGCAGAGCCAAGAATATTGCCTCAATTAAATACCTGCGCCAGGATTGAGAGGATTCCCACCACGCCGATGAACACCGCAATCGTTTTGGGTGAGAAGTTAATGACCTGAGAGACAAAGAGAAAGAGCTGCGTCACCATCAGTCTGCACCAGCGCACCCCGAGCCAATGAACTCTGCTATATCCAGTAATGAGCCGTCACTGAACTCAACTCAACACTCAGACAGGATGCCACTAACAATCCAGCCAAACCCCGAACTTCCTGAGAAACCGACGAGTGTGTGAAATAGAGTCCAGCTATTATAAATAAGTAATTATAAAACTAAATAAATATATATTAGGGGAAAATAGGAAAAAGTAATACTTTTATTACTTCATTTATTAACTTCAAATCAGTGCTGTTCTTTTAAAGTTTCTATTCATCAAAGAATCCTGAAAAATAAAATGTATCAGTTTCCACAAAAATATTGTGCAGCACAACTGTTTTCAACATTGATAATAATCTGGCATGTTTCTTGAGCAGCAAATCAGCATATTAGAATGATTTCTGAAGATCATGTGACACTGAAGACTGGAGAAATTATGCTGAAAATTCAGCTTTGATCACAGCAATAAATTACATTTTACAATATAAAAAATTTTTTTTTTAAAAAGAGTATTTACAACAATATTTACTACAGTTTTTATTTTAAAATGTAATTATATTTCAGAATATTACTCTTTTTAATTTTACTGTACTTTTAATCAAATAAATGCAGCCTTGGTGAGCATGAGACTTAAAAAAAAACACTTTTATAACGATATTTAATAGAATTTACAAAAAAATAACAATTGAAAAATATTTAATACAATAAGTATTTAATACAATATTTACTACAGTTAGCACATTTTGTTGGTCATCATGCAGAAGCAGTATGAGTAGTATGGTAGTGTTTTTGTTTACTGATCCTACTTGTTTAGTTAATTAGAAGCATGCTGCAGCTAAAAACCTTCCAGTCATCAGTGCAGCATGAATCATGGGACTGTTCAACAACAGCAGACAGTGAAAAAAGGGAGCATAAATAAAGCACCCTGCAGGATAAACCGCTTTAATGGAATTAATGGAAGCAGACAGCTGCTTTAATCAGGAACATTAAATATAGAACCTTTACATTTGTACCAAGAATACCAAGAATAAACAGCTTACCTGACGCAGGTAGAGGAAAAAGCTGGAGTACTGACCCGCCTCGGGCAGATAGGACAGAAACACTGTGATACAGATGAGCAGAACGGTCGTGTCCTGCCCAACCTTCCGCAAAGACTGTGAAGAAACATCGAAAAGCCATGTTTCTGAATGACAGAACCTAGTGATGCCATGTAGACAGAGAAGAGAAATGGTCCAAGAACTGAGCCCTGAGGCATCCCAGCAGTTAGATGTTGCGACTTGGGACACCTCACCTCTCCAAGATATCTTGAGATATGATGATATCTTGGGCTTCAACAACTGAGAGCAAGGCAGTCAATTATATATATTTAATATATATAAAAATATTATATATATATTTATATATATATATATATATATATATATTTGATGACTATTGTTATAGATGACTATTGTTTGACTTTTCCTTAACTGATTTCATTCAGTTCCATAATCACAATTATTGAAGTGCACTATACTTTTTGAAATGTATAATTATGGTGTTGAATACATATATCTATTTTTTTTTTTACATAACGTCATAGTAAAAATAAATAAATAAAGAATGAATTTAAAAGATTTTTTAAATTAATTTAAGTTCTTACAGCAAAAATATTACATTAGATATTAAATATTAGATCATTATTTATATAATTTATATATCCACTATATATGACTATTCTTTGACTATTATTTTTTGACTGATTTCATTTAGTTCTATAATCACAATTATCGAAGTGTACTATACTTTTTTGAGATGTATAATTATGGTATTATATATATATATATATTCATGTGGAGGGAGATTTTTTTTTAAACGGAAGAAGGAAAAACTCAGTTTATAAATATACCCGTGTACGTGTGGACATGGCCTTATTTAGAGTATTATTTCATTTTAAAGAAAAAAAGGGGAAAAAACACTTTAAAGGAATAGTTCACCCAAAAATGTTTAATTATGTCATCGTTTAGCCTACTCAAACCTAATGTAACAGATCGGCCAGGCTCCACCACCACCCAATCACAACGATCCCTCTCACCTGAATTCTGAGCACCTGCACCTGTCACCAATCTAGCACCTCATCAACCAGCCTGCATAAAAGCACACACCTCAGACACCCTCACTGTCCGGTCTCGTATACACGTAGAGGACTCAATGACTTTGCTACTACTTTCATTTGAATACTTACTGCATTACTTACCTTCTGTGTTCCTCCTAGTGTCTCCAAGTGTCTCCTGTTCCTCCTTCGTTACTCCTTAAAATATACAGTATCACGTGCTCCGAGACGCAGTGTCTGATTCATGAACAAACTGATTCTTTTCAATTAACCTATTAAATCGGTTCACAAATCGCACCAAACGATTCATTCACGAATTGAAATGATCCGATTGCAGCTTTTCTCGAGCAGACAACTCACTGATTCAAATGAACCGTTTAGTGCGAGTCTCCAGTGAACTGAATTCACAAGTAAGAACCGGGAGATCTTGTGAGTGCGCGCGCGTCTGATGCTGTTAAAAGTAAGTTACTAATGTCGAATTTTAGATTTAATTATTGTAACAAAGTCATATTTAGGTCAAAGCTGTCAGTTGTTTGTGAACTAAATCTGCTGTAAAGGGTGATCTGTTTAAGCCCACTGAAATGCTTGA